CACCTCAGCACACAGAGCTTCCATTATTGATACAAGAGGACGGATTTTTTGGCACCCCCCCTACCCCCCCAATATGAGGATACAGCAAAAGCTGCAATACCACACACAGGCAGACAGGGGGCGCCAGAGCCCCGCCACCGAGATACAATGTTACTCTTGTAGGACCTGCAATTAGTTACATAGAGGGGAGAACAGACTTCTAGCTTAGTATGCGCGTGCACACACACACACGCACACACGCACACACACACACACACACACACACACACACACACATTTGCACACTTCCTCCTTTTAAATATGTCATAGGGCAGAGTAGAACCTGAACCCTGAGCATCCAATGAGGCTTCAGCAGTCATCACGGTCAACTGTCACTGTTATTTTCGACTAAATTGCGTCTCGAAAACCGCTGCAAGCGCGCTCTTGATCGCTTCCCTCGTTGTAGAGTCCGCTGCCGTGCGTCCGTTGCATACTCGGCAGCGTTTGGCTGTCTCAGCTGCCCGTCAGCAGAGGCACAGGGAGGCGTGGCTAGGACTGACCAATAGAGGGAATAGTTCAGGGTTGACTTTTTAACGGTTTTCAGAGGCAGCTTATCCGGATGCTTAAAAGGGCCAGGCCGCCTGATAGTTGGATGTCATCCGGGGGGGTGGGGGGACCCCACCAGGAAAAAAAAAAGCTCCCAGCTTCCACAAGAAGAGGGAGACTCTGGTGAGGAAATCCCTCCCAGATGGAGGAGCCAATCAGGTTGTTTAACCCGATGACACCCGCCCATAACGGGAACATCAGCTGGCGGCAATGACTACGCCTAATGCTATTTGGGGACCCAACGAAACACCGACCCCCCCCATTCCTCAACTCCGCCCCGAAGGTCTCTCTCTCGCCAAATGAGTATAATGATGGGTGGACCCAGGAACAAGCCCCTCCCCCTTTTATTTATTTGTATATAGCATGTGACATAAATACATATCTATATTAATATATATATATATATTGCTGGAAGAAGAGAGATCTCTATAGGAAGATCTATGCGCATGGAGAGAAATGTAACATATGGTTTTTCCGGGTTTTGATTTATTTAGTTTTTTCTTTCTTTTCGCTCTCCCGACCCCGAGACGCCATTCAATAAAAAAAAAGGTTATTTCTATATTCATGGGTGCCGTGTGATTTATGACGCCGCGGTGGCTGGAACCGACCATTTAGTTGCTGACGTGTTAATGACATGCTGATAGGAGGAGAGGGGAGAGAGACAGAAATGAGCTCACCATTGTGCTGCTTCTCTTTTCACTGCCCAATCATGGGCGGGGGGGGGAGGGACAAGACCTCTCAGTGTTGCTGAGCTGCAGCAGAGAAAAATCAGGTCTCCTGCCCACTGCCAGGGAGGGCCGTGCTGTGTGTATTTAGGCTTTTGCCTGGAGTTCAGTATTAATGTATTGAAACCAGGGGATCAGCATGACAGCCGGGCATCCTGCATTGTCAGAACCAGGCTTACAGCTGGTATATATATATACACACATCTCGTGGCGGGGCCTCTTCTATACGATGGCGGTAACGCCAGCCCCGCGCTGAGTGCGCTCTTTATTTCTCGCGGTGAGGAGGAAGATGAATTATTAAGCAGGACGAGGATGATGAAATATTAAAGAGGAAATTCTCTGTTCTGTGCATCACTCGCGCGGCTTTTTTACCGCGAATCGCGGTAAAAAAACCGCGTGACGGTCGCGCGACAGACGCACATATTACAATACGCATAGGTGTGAATGGGGCCTGAGAGGTGTAGACGGGGACCCTGCCAGATCTATGACCCCTGAGGAGGTGCAGACGGGGATCCTGTCAGATCTATGACCCCTGGGAGGTGCAGACAGGGACCCTGCCAGATCTATGACCCCTGAGAGGTGCAGACGGGGACCCTGCCAGATCTATGACCCCTGAGAGGTGCAGACGGGGATCTTGCCAGATCTATGACCTCTGAGAGGTGCAGACGGGGACCCTGCCAGATCTATGATCCCTGGGAGGTGCAGACGGGGACCCTGCCAGATCTATGACCCCTGAGAGGTGCAGACGGGGACCCTGCCAGAGATATGACCCCTGAGAGGTGCAGAAAGGGGACCCTGCCAGATCTATGATCCCTGAGGAGGTGCAGACGGGGACCCTGCCAGGTCTATGATCCCTGAGGAGGTGCAGACAGGGAGATCCAGCCAAGATTATTAACCCTACATGGTGCAGACATATGAACCTTACCAGGTCTATTAACCCAGCGAGGTCCAGACTGCATGGAAATGACCAGGCCTATTAACCCTGTGATGGTTTGGCAATCCAGACAGGAGGATCTTTCTGGGTCTTTTATCAATGTGAGCAATCCTATCAGACCCAATAACCCTACGAGGGGCGGGTGGGGAGATTCTGCTTGATTTATTGGGAGGTGAAGGGTTAATACCCTCCCAGGTCTATTATGTGTGCAATTTGCAGACAGGTTGACAATACCAGGTCTCATAACCCTTCAAGGTCAAGACAGGAGGATCCTGCCAGGTGCAGGCAGGGGGCATGCTGCCAGGTCTATTAACCCTGCAAAGTCCAGAGAGAGGGAGGGACCCCGTTGTCAGGTTTCTTAACCCTGCGAGGTGCAGGCAGCGGGACCGTACCAGCTTTATTATTCCGACAACATTCAGGTAGGAGGATCATGCCACGTGCAGACAGGTGGATGCTGCCAGGTCTATTAACCCTGCGAGGTGCACACAGAGGGACACGGCCAGGTCTCCTTATTAACCCTGTGCGAGGTCCAGAATGGGGGGGACGGGGACCCTGCCAGACCTAGTCTCACTGCCTGATTCAGACAGGGGACCCTGCCAAGTTTATTAACCCTGTAAGATCTAGAATGGGGAGACATTGCCAGATCCAGTAAAATCCTGCAAGGTCCAGACTTGGGGGACTGTGGCCGATTATTAACCCTGTACCGTCCAGAAAGTGGGACCCTGGGAGATCTGTTAATACTGGAGATATTGCCAGGTCCAGAACCCTGTGAGGTTAGGGTTGCCACCTTTTCTTCAAGTGAAACACGAACACTCCAGCAACGCGCAGACATTTTTTTTTGGGGGGGGGGGAATGAGTGGTGGCTTATTCAAATGTAAATATCGCAGTCAAGACTATTTTCAGTGTGGGGGGGGTCAGTAGCCCCCATCTTAAATTTGGTTGCCCCTGTCTGCCTGACCCGAACACAGCATTCCGGGTGAATCCTGGAAACCCTATGTGAGGTCCAGACAGGGGGGGACCCCGCCAGATCTATTAACCCTGCAATGTCCCGAATGGGGAGACATTGCAAGGTCCAGTAAACCTGTGAGGTCCAGACGGGGGCCCCCCTGCCAGATCTATTAACCCTGCTAGTTCTATGAATTCCGCCATGTCCAGATAGGGGACGCTGCCACTATTAACCCCGACATGTGTAACGGTCATAAAGCCCTCCCTCAGGTCGAGAACGAAAACACTGATTTTCAGTGGATTGCTTTGCGTCAGAGCCGTCCTCTGCATTGCACCCGGGCTGTGCGTAGCAAATGCACTGCGGATAGTAACCATAGGTGACCCTCTAAAATGCGTTTTACAAGGACATCAATGAACCCCTTTAGAAGACACATTCATAGAAGATGTAAAATTGGCAATTTGCACGTTTCCTGCAATCACGCGTTTGCACACAGAGCATTCTTGGAAGGCAGAGCGAAGCCGAAACAAGACGAAGGTTTAGTAACAAGGGATTTAAACCCCGTTCTGTATGAAGCGGAGAAGTTTTGGTCATGGTTTGCATCTCCATCTTTGTTCTTTCACTTCCTCTGTGGTCACCTGGACAGGAAGTGAGAATGAATGTCCCCCAGAGGACACAGCAGGTAGGTCAATATTGCCGATAGAAGATTCAACACTTCTCTACTCTACTGTTGGCTGGAGTCCAAATGCGTCAGAAACGGAAACAAAAAACGCGGCGCAACAACTGTTGACTGACTCCCCACCTCTGCTGGAAATCTGTTCCCAGCATCAACTACTCTTTAGGTAAAACAATACTTTCTAAGGTTAGTTTAGAACTTTCCTCCTGCTGGTTGGAGGTCCCGTGTTCTTGATATGGAAGATTCCGCCCTCCTGGTCCTCATTCCCTCCAGACAGTGCTCATTAAGTTCCTGCAGTCTCTCCTCCGAGGTTTTATCCCTCATCTCTGGACTCTGATCAACATCTCATTGTAAGTGAGGACTCCAGAAATGATCACAATGTTCCAAGACAACTAAAGATCTATATAGAGGGATCAGGACCTCCTTCCTCCTGCTGGGGACCCCTCTAGTCCCTGGGCGCACCGTCGCTCAGTTTGGGATCCTCTCGCGTCATAGAACAGACTCGTCTTTCGGGGTAAATCATTTTTTCCATCTCCATGAACGGCTCTCTTGTGGCTGCGCCTCGGGGCGACGGCTGACAATAGTCTGGCAGGAGCGGTGCGTGGTGGGACTCCGCCTCCTCCTCGTTTTTTTTTCTTGGCTGCCATCACCTCCCTGCCGGGGGGGGGCAAGAAAGGCGTTAGTCATTAGAGGATGTGGTGCACGGGAGGAAACTACAGAGCGCCGCACTTCCTCTTTAGGCAAACTCTCAGGCGTTCGCGTGCCGGATCGGATTCCCCGCTCTCTCTCTCCCCTCCGGCGC